CAGGGCTAGGGGTCCCCAGTAAGTCACTCCTGGCTTCCTGCGGGGCAGACTGACTCCCGGGGGACTCAGTTCTCTTGCCGGTCAGCCAAGCCCTGCCCCCTGCCTGGCCCACCTGCCTCGGGGCCCCCCACCCCAGCCCTGGGGAGGGGTGGCTCTGTTACAGCCGAAGGGCTGTGCACAGCCCATCTCTTGAGATTGTGCCCTCACGCCCGGCTAGTTTGCTTGAGATGGAGACCAGGGTCCCAGGAGGGGCCATCCTCGACCCTCCAGCACCTGGACTGTTCCTGGTATACAGCAGATGCTCAATACATGCTTGTGGTTCTCATGAGTATCCACCCTTCTCCGTGACCCCAAATCTAACCAGACATCATGACGGTTTAGGGACCTAGAATGGGTTCTCCTGCCTGGCAGCTGCCCAGAGAAGGGGCCAAGGTCGTTTACAAGGTGGAAGCAGGTGTTGCCAGAGCAGCTGCACCAGCTGAGACTCGACCGGCTTCCCGAGCGGAGCCCAGGGGCAGCTCAGCCACGTGGGGTCGTGCTCCTGTGGCACCAGCGGTTCCACCGCATGAGGCCGTGTCCCTGAGGTCACCCTGGCCGGCCCTCCCGCTTGTGCCCCACGTCCCAGATGGCGTCCACAGCTCCAGACACCAGGGCCACTTCCAGGGCAGGAGGAAGCGGGGTGCAGGTCCAGACTCTGCATGTCCGTAGCCCACCGGCTCAGGGGTCTTGGCACCCCGCTGGCGCACTGTCCCAGGCAGGTTCTGGTCCGAGGAGGGTGGCGCGGCCGCACGTGGGTGAGCGCTTCCCCGCCCTGCCGGTGATGTCTCTGTGTCCTGTGGTATTTCCGGCCTTCTCCCCCGACTTGAGTATCCCACGTGAGCTGGAACCGGGGACCAGACGGCGCTTTGCCAGGACTGAGGGCTCCCAGGATGTGGGACCTTCATGTACAAGAGGAAAATCAGGGCAGACCGAGGCAGGTTGGTCCCCCGTGCTGGGCTCACGTCAGCAGAAACCCAGCGTGTGGACCGGCTGGTCAGCGTGACCACTGGGCAGCAGGGATGAGGACTCACCCCCATCCATCTGCTGTGTATTGTCTCAGCCTCCACCAGGGTCCCAGAGTGCATTGGGCGCCTCCCGCATGCCCTGCTTTATTTGAACCCCATAAAAAGCCTGATGAGATAAACACAGACCCCATTTTACAGACAAGAAACTCAAGGTCCGGGAGAAACTTGTGTAAGATCACAGCTGGTGAGAGCAGAACCAGAGTGTGGTCCGGGCTGCCCGACACAAAGTCCGGAACTCATGCGTTAGAAGCTTCCCGGGAGCGGTCAGAGGATGTGAAGGGAGGAAACACATCTGCACTAGGTAGAGGTCAGGGAAGAGTCTTCACCCGCCTGCTCAGGGACAGCGCAGGGGGGTCTCAGAGAGCGGACAGGACAGCAGTGGGGCAGGAAGGAGAACTACAACCACGCCCGGGGCCAGGTCCCCAGCACCGTACCTCTGGAGGGGTAAGGGGTGGGCGGGCAGTTTATTGTCCAGGTACCTGGATGACCTCAGGTTTTCATAAACTATTCAGGGAGTTTCTTTAGAACTCCGGACAAGCTTCTTTAGAAACCAAGTTCCACCTCCACGGAGTTCGCTGTGCTCTGTTCCGGTCCGCCGTTAGCTGACGGCCGTAGGTCCCCGTAGAGCAGAGGGTTAGGCCCTGCGTCTCGGCTTTAACTGTCCTCGTGTGCTTTTCCCAAGATGAAATTCTAGTCGAAGACATTTTGGATCCAAACAAATCAACATTCCTTGAAACACAAAGACCGCTAGTAAAATCAACAAAGGCTGCAACAAAGAGAAAAAGTAAGTACAGCTGTGTGGCGTCCCGGAGCCCGCGGGGCGCGCGCAGCCCCGTCAGGTCAGCGCCCTCGGAGGCCGGCTGCCTCCGGGGCAGACGCACGTGGAGACAGAGGGAACGTGTCCCAGACGATGCCGTGCTCCTCCCGAGACTGGGGAGGTCAAGCCCAGCCGGGCAGAGACCACTTCCCTTCATTCCGGGTGGTCTCTGGTGCCCGTGCAAGAAAGGCCTCGTGCTTGGGGGGCAGGTGGGGCTCGGCCACTGCGGGACCACGGGGCGCAAGGGAACAGGAGCATCAGCTACCCAGCACGTCGGATGCTCACCGCAGCCTCCTGAGAGCCGGGCAGTGACAGTGACCCCACCCGACGGGGGTGAGGCAGGCCTGAAGGAGGACGGGCCCCGGAGCACACAGCTAGCAGTGAACAAAAGCAGCACGCTTTCCAAAGTGCGGCTTCGTAAGGTCCAAACACACAGATGAGGAAATGGCACACTGAGGTCCAGGACGGAACATCTGGCTGACCCTGCCTAAGGCGAGAGCCCTGTGTCAGAATCCACAAGGGGTGGGTGAAAACGCATTCAGTAGCAGCGTGGGGAGAGGGGGTCGGTCAGCATTTCCTGGAAGTGTGGGGTCCTGATGTAAATTCCGGTCCCGAGGGTTAGCTCACCCAGCATCTGCTGAGGCCCAGACAGCGGGCTTCAGGGAGGTCACGGGATGCCTGACTGTTGACATGTCGACTTGCCAAAGCGCACTGTCAGCGGAAGCTGAAAACTGTGTTCGCATTCCAGCCTAGTGTCTTCAAGTGCAGCACAGAAAAAACTGTTCCTAAGTGTGTGCGTTATGTTTTCCCTCCTTTTTTCCATGCTCTTCGTCAAAGTAGCCCATAATAAGGCCAACACTAAGAAGATGGAGCATGAAAAGAAATTCTCTGCTGGGGAAAAAAGGCAAACTCTTCTATAACGGTAAATGCAGCCGGGCAGT